TGGAGAGTGTGTAAGCATCATAAGAAGGCCCTTGAGAAAAACAAATATGCCACCTCAAGAGTTGAATTGTATTTTAGGAACTGAGTTACAAATTCTGCTAAGAGTACCTTAAAAATGGGCATGAAGAGGTGGAACTCCAAATATTTTTATCTTTAAGGTCCAGGGATAATCAAGTAAACATAATAACTCTACTTCTCCTTGGCATGTCATTTATTTACTAGTCTCTTGCTGATATACATATATACATATGATTCTGATTGCCGTACAAGATAAAACTGAAATTTTCTTCCTATGCCAGCTGGTTTTCTTGTGTTATTTTTCTCTTGAAATTGGAGACATCCTTTTTGTTAGACCTGAATTCTGTGCTTCAGTTTGCCGTAATCATAAAGCCCATAGGATTTGTGTTTAAACCAGGCTCATAGGTTTGTTCCCTCATAGGGAGCAAATTCACTTTACAAAATCAGCTTTTAATTACCTAAAATTTGCCACAGGAAATTACTTTATATTTTTTTAAATGTTTTCCCCTTCAAAAGAAATTGACTGTGGAAGGGAAAGTCCAGATTTAAAAACTGAAGTTTGGTTATGTTGTTTGGAGGAAGGGATGGAAAGAGAGAGGTTCCTAAAATACAAAGTCAGGGACTGTGTGTGCACAGCTCCTCTGAGTATTTGCAGAATACCACCCTTTGTGCAGAAGACCCCAAACACTTTTGTTTTCTTTGTCTCAATTCCTGGATTTTACAATTTAATGTATCTGTTTCTCACCAGGCAGCATCCAACCAGAGATGAGATTTTCATGCTGCATTGGGAAGGGTTCTAATGATGTTTTCTGTGTTCTTTGTTGTTACTAGATGGTGCAGCAAAAGTTTCTCGGTGTTGTGACAAAAAGCTGTGCTAATGATAATAAACTATAGTTCTCCTCACTCCTGCAGATGGCTCAAAGGTTAATTCCAACTGTTAATGTAATGGGCACATCCAGAGAAAGCTTTCACAAGCAGGGCATTTTGTAACTGGCATCTTGCTGTTAAATTTGTCTAACCTGAGCCTTGCTGGGTTTTTTGGGGGGCACCACATGTCAGTAAATACACCTCTGTAGATAGACACACAGTCAGGATGAACAGGATATAAAATCTCTCCATGACTGTCAAAAGGTGACACGATAGGGCATATCACAGTTAGTCAAAGCAACAAACTAAAAAGAGTTTAAAAAGAAAAAAATAGGAAGGAGAGAAGAAAAGATGGAGAAAAATGTTCTATTTCACTTCCCCTGAGCAAACATGTAATTTCCATGATTTCTTTTTAATGACTCTCTTCTGAAACTAGTAGGTACTGATTTATGAAAAGCTGTAAAAGATCAGGTGGAACCCTGCAGGACGTCGTTTACAGCTGCATGGATTGCAACCCGTCTAATTTGTCTAGTAAAGTGTGAGCTCATGGCGCACATCACCCAGATCATAAATTTCATGTTCAGACCTTCTGTCTGGGGGCTGGGTCAGGGGAAAAAAAACCTGCCGATGTGTGCAGATGCTCTGAAAGCCCAGCTTTCCCTTGATGCATACAAGGAGACATCACAGACTCTTTGCAGAGAGGCAAATTCCTGTTCATTGATAAACAGTCCAGATGTCCTCTCTGAGGAGGAAAAGAGCTAATTTTTGTTTGGAATCCTACAAGAAGAAAAATGATACTTTACAGCACTGGTTATTCTGAGGTCACTTGCATTAAAATTAGGTCATATTTTTTGTCATGATGATACTTTGATCCAAGTAATAAACATAAAAGCTCTTTTGGGCCATTCTAATTCCTAATCCTAGTGATCTGTTCTATTTCAACTTGTTTATATATTTTTTTAAAATAGTGATTCTTGAGTCAGACCTTGTTTTATTAGACTTCAGTTAAAAAGGCATACTAGGCTGGGGAAAAAAGAAAAATCTATGTTTTATCACTAAGAACACTTCATAAATACTCTTAATTAATGTCTTGGGATTCCAGACACTATACCCAGACAACTATAAATAAAAAGCATTGGCTTTTCACAGGACAAACAGTAGTCAGCAAGATGCAGACCTTACAGCTACCAATTCAAGTTATCTTAGGCCTGATTATCAAGCTTGAGCCTGTAACTTGAGGGCGTTTAAAGCTGAGTAACACATAGGTGTCTTAAGAGCTGGTTTTAGCATTGGAAGAGTATATGAAGTGTGCTGCCACTTCTGTCCTCGGCTCAGTCTTTGTGTCAATGAGGTCATGCTCTGCTTTCCCTTCTTTAGTGTTTTGAGGGCAGAGCAGGTTTCTGGTGTCATCTGTCACTTTTCTTTCCATTGATGGCTGTTCACAGGATGTGAGGTCCATAGGTGGTGTTGTGTTCACAGTTATTTGAAGCAGCTCCTTGTCCTGTCTGGGCTCTGGAGGGAAGGTAGTCAGGGAAAAGCTGTCCCATTAGGAACATCACAGATCTGATATGCCTACAGCAGTTACGATCATTTATGGTTTTGAATTTAAGATTTTCAAGCATCAAAGGAGATCTTTAATTATGGCCTGCATTCCCAGAAGAGAAGAAAATGCTACGTTACTTCTCTAAGCCTGAAAGAATTCAGCCGATTGATAGCAAATGGCAAAATGTCAGAAGTAAAAGGTGCTGTTTAATATGTAGCCAATACCAAAACCCAAAACCCATTGTTTCACATAGCTGTACTGACCTTCTCTTCAAAGGTGTAAGGTAAATGTCTCACTGTAACTGATGTGATATCTCCTGATTGCAGTGCAAATCAGGTGTAGTGCAAGGATATGCTATTGTAGGGGTGCTGATATTTATGAAACTTAATAAAGATGCTGGAATTGAGAAGTTTTGTTTGTATTTTCTAGGCTGCTTATGAGCTTAAATACTTTGTTCTCTTGGTGCTTTTAAAATCTCCTTCTATTTATGTTTGTTCCAGTGCTCAGAGATGACTTGGGTTTGGGGTGAAGAGGGTGTCTTACAATCCAGATCAGTTTTCCAGTGCCAGTAGTTGTCACCCACCTGTTGCACAGTATAATCACTGCCTTTAAATTATGCTGTCAGTCTAGCCACCTCTCATTTTCACTTCTTTCTGGTGACAAAAGTCACTCCAGAAGAGTTCAGCTGTACTATTCAGACTCATGTGCAGGTTGTTTCACTACAACCACAGGGAAAAAGAATAATGAGGCAGAAAATAGACTGTGAAGTTGCGGAGATAACTGCTTTGAACATTATCTAGTTTCCTGTGTTTCTGAGTAGAACAGCTAAGCACATGCTTTGCTTTAAACCTGAAATAGACACCCATAAGGTACTTTACTTAAAATGTAGCATGTATGTCTCTGTTTGGGGGCAAAAAAACTGTCCAGTATGGACTTTTTGTTTGTAGTGGAGTCAAAAATGCAGAAATGTCTGTTTGGGGGCAAAAAAACTGTCCAGGATGGACTTTTTGTTTGTAGTGGAGTGAAAAATGCAGAAATAGAGTTGCTGTCTCTAATAACATCTGACTAGTTGAGGAAGTCATTATTGTACTAATTAGCACTGAGAGAGGAAAGTAACTGGAATTAGTAAGATTCTTGTCTGCTTGTGTAGCTCTTCAGGGGCTTCTCACATGTCTTAGAATAAGACATCAAGTCAGTGAGGAACAACAGCTGAGAACAAGCTCACCTCTCTAAGAACTGGGTGTCTTCAAGGTGTTAGCCTGAAACATCTGTTTCAGAGAGGACAAACCCACTGCCTGAAAATGCGTGTGTCTTTCCATGGACTGCAGCAGTAGAAAAAGCAGCTGGGCTTATGTGTGATATTTTTAGATGGCTAAAATGAAGTACTGTAGAGAGCCTTACTCAAGTGACTTCATGGGGAAGGGCTGGCTTTTTTTTTTTAGTGTTGATGCTCTCAAATCGGAAGTTACAGTATGCTCTCAAGTCCATGAACACAGGAATATTCGTACTAGACAGAACTGAATTTTTGGATCAATGGAGGAGCAGCCATTTTTGCCATTTGCAATGTGTATAGTACAGGGTCAGCTGCAATACAGTACTTCCTGATAAAAAATTTTACATTTAGTCATTATTTTGAGAAGGATTTTTTCCTCAACTGCTTAAAGGTAGACTTATGCAGATAGCAAAGTGTTTACATGGGCAAAGAAACACAGATACAAGTTTTGTTTGATTCATTCTGTCGGTTTTGTCTGTTTCTTACCAGTTTCTTTGTTGTTGTCTCAAGCAGAGAACTTGGATGCAAATCATGACAGTTCAGCATCATTCATGAGTACCACATTAGTTTCAAAGGCAGAAGATGATTCAGTTCTCACTTCTAAATTATTTGTGTGATATCCTTACGGAAGTTTCAGTCTTAGACTGAGCAGCAGTTTTAAACTAGTCATGGCAATTGCATTTTGTATTTGGCTGAGTATATTTAATGACAAATTACCTCATTTCTACCTTTGCTGAAGAATGCAAATCTTGTGCAGTTTCATTTGTTTCACACATTCACTTAACATTTGCTTTTTAGGCTGCTACAATTTTTTAAAGCTACTAGTGTCTTATTATTTGTGCTTCTAACTTAGTAGCAGCATTTAGGATTTGCCAGTGGGCTGCAATATTCTGAATATTTGATATGAGTGAATTCTACCAACAGGGTCAACTTGGAGCCTAGAGTGTGCAGCATTTGTGTGTTGTTTGGGACTACGTGAATCACATAAATACAATCTAAATTAGGCTTGTCTTTGCTAATGCTACATACATTAAATTGTAAGGTAACAATGCATTTTACAAATTGGTGATGCTTCAGTGATTTAAACATGAGCATGAGAAGCTGGTGCTCTTGAACATGGTGATTACACAGCATTTGTCAGAGCTGCCAGCATCAGTATACATGGTGACCTCAGTAGCTGTTGAATAGCAAAGCCACATCTAGCCTGGAAGCTCGTGCCAGTGCTGAGTTTAGATACAAAATAAATGTAGATGTATCCCTGCTTCCTAACTTTCGTTGCATTCTTTTTTTGTTATTTCAGGCCATCAAATCTTCTCCTGGACCAAAGTAACATTGACATTTCAGCCTTCCGCACAACAGGTGATTGGCTGAATGGTTTTCGGACAGGACAGTGCAAAGACATTTTCACAGGTGTGGAGTACAGTTCCTGTGATACAATAGCCAAGATTTCTACAGAGTAAGTTTGGATGAACTGTAGTTCTTCATCAGCTGTGCTATAAGCATAAGAGTAGTATTTTTATACGGAGTTTTCAGTTTTTGTAGTTCTTCATCAGCTGTGCTATAAGTTTGAACATAAGCATAAGACTAGTATTTTTATATGGAGTTTTCAGTTTCTAGCTAAAATATTCTTACATTTTAAGAGACAAATGTGAATTATTCTTGTAGTTGCAATACACATGCAGGAAACCTAGATGTTCTGGTGACTATGTGAAGACAAGGAAATTGCTAATTTCTTCTGATACAGTAGCACCATGCATCATCTGGTACACCAGCATCACTTTCATTCATTCACACTTCAGGAGCTTCTCTGTTGATTTTATAGTCTACCTTTTATATGGGTGTTTCTCCACAGCTGGCACATGTGTCAATCTCTTCCTCTATTGCCCATCCCATATTTCATTAAACCAGGTGTGACAGTGCAAACTCTTCGTGTTTTCCTCCTATATGCTGATAATTATTCAGGGACTGAACTCCCTCCTGCCTCCAGTTTTGACATTTAAACATGCCACACTTGCAAGTTTACAACTGGTAATTTTGTTACATTTTAAATGCAATTCATCTTTGTTCTAGCGATAAGAAAGAGTAGGGTAAAGTTCTTTCTGAACCTGAAAATGCATCAAGTACAGTTATGAATGTAATGCCAAAGTAAATCTTAATTCCTGTTGGGATAGCTAGATACGTGACAAGTTTTGCAGAAATAAGCAGCAGCTGCTGTACCAACAATTAAACACATCAATGCCGTTAATTAGTGTATTATTGTAACTATAAAAAAGGTGCTAATGGCTTTTTATAACAATTACCCTTTGGGGACAGTGCAGAAATCCCCTAGGAATGCCCAATTTCCTGTAAGCCACTGGTTAATTATCCTTTCACAAGTGTTAAACCACTTCTGTGTTGCACAAGGAACAATGAGACCTGGACATCCTGGAGAAACAAGAGGTGAAAACAGGGTAGACACTAGAAGCTTGGCCATATAGCCCTTCATCTCAGTGCTAATAGCAGAGTTCAGAGGGCCATTCAGAAGGCTCAGCGAGAGATGAGATGTTAGCTCTGCCCGGGAAAAACAGTTCAGAGGGCCATTCAGAAGGCTCAGTGAGAGATGAGATGTCAGCTCTGCCCGGGAAAAGTGATTAGGTTAATAGGGGGATGGAGGCGTTACAGAAGCTCAAGATCACAGCTGGCCCAGAAGTGAACACTTTGCCTCAAAAGTCCCACTGCCTGTGTCATGGGAGAACACTGTTTCATTGTCTTTTCACCCAGGCAAGCAAATAAAATAAGGCTAAATGAGTTTTCACTCTTTTTTTTTTTGTGGCCCCCTTGTGTTAAATGAGTTTTCACTCTTTTTTTTTTTTGTGGCTCCCTTGTGATTTCGTACAGTCGCTCTCAGTATTTTTCAGGGCTTGTGTTTCACCAATATTGCTGTACCTAGAGGCTCCTCCAGTGCAGCAATATGAGTGAGTTGATTGCTGTTTGCTCAGATCAGTGCTAGGAAACACAGAGATAATATGCTTACTCATATGATGCATTCTTCTCTTTTTTCCAGCGACATGAAGAAAGTTGGTGTTACAGTTGTGGGGCCTCAAAAGAAGATTGTTAGCAGTATCAAAGCTCTAGAAACTCATACAAAGAACAGCCCTGTTCCTGTGTAAGGTACCAAAACGGTGTTTCTCAGGAGAGAAAAAAAAGAGAAAAGTTGCATCACAGGTCAAAAGTGATGGCTGATAAACGGCAGAATTTAATGGAGTTCTTTGCAACAACTTTGGAAACATAATGGTTGAGATTTCAAACCCACTAAGACACTCAAATATTGAGTATAAATGCCTTAAAAATACGAGCAAACTTGTTTTCTATCTGTTAATACTAAAGGGTGGGTACTCTTGACTGACTGTTAATGCAGATAGTAAATGTCAATTGAAAAACGTATGTTAAAAAATCCTTCCAAGTAAAACCAGTGTTACTAAAACCTAGAGCCATTTGAATATTAAGTGACTGAATAACAGAAAAAAACCATGGACATAAAAGCTGTGTATTTGATCTATACAGCAAACAAGAAGAAAGAAAGACTTGCAGTATTTTTATACAGAAGAGATCTGTAACAGGTATTTTATTTCTTTAAAAGCAAGGAAAATAGAGGACTATACCTCACAACCTGTCTGGCCATATTTACTATAATGTCATTGTAACATGCTATTTCAGCTTCAGGAAGGAACACAGAAATGAAGTTTTTAGTGACTTTGAGTTAGTTAACAAAAGATTTTTGCCATTATGTTAGCTTCCCTAATTATGTTCATTTAAATAGAAACAAGTCTTAATTTTTAAAAGGCTTATTTATTTTCTTTGTGGGTTCTTTTTTCCATTATTGTTTATATTTATGCTTAAATACCTTAACCTGGCTGTATTATTGCCAAGTGCCAAATGTTATCAAAACTTCATTGGTTCAGCCTGAAAAACTGTCTGAGGGTTAATTACTAGATTATTTTATACTCATAACATTATATATGAATTACAGAAGGAAAAGAAAGATGATCTTTTTTCCAGCTCTGACACTAGACAAAGCATCTGGACTTGCTGAGATTTCTTCTATTTGCTGTGAGTGGTATTTTAAGCCAGTTTTGGCAGTTGTGTGTGTGTCAATCTCTAGATCAGTATCTGCCCTGGTCGAACACATCTCATTTACTTCCCAAAGGCCTAATTTCATGTCAAAATAAGGACCTCTATTCTTAGGTGGTGCTCAGGTGAGATATCTGACTAGAAAATATGGAAAGGAGCCAGGGTTGTTGCATCCTGTATTACCTGATGATGCTTTTTGAGTTCACTGGGAGGTGGTCCATTTATGGCTTTAATCTGGCGGGCTCTGCTCCCAGCGCTGGGAACTGGGACGAATACTACCATGTGGGCAGCTGCTGGTACTTATGCTGAGATGGAGACTTGCAGCCTAGGTTGAGTAGATTATTTAAAAGGATGACTTAAGCAGTGAAATTGGGCTTTGGTACATAATTTTACATACATCTGAGCTAGAAGACCTCTGTCCAGGTGCTGCCATCCAGCAGGGGACCTGAGCTTTTGGCACAGGTTCCTTAGGCACCTGTTCCTTGAAAGAAAGCAGAAAGGAGCCTGTCTTTAGGACACAATTCACATTTCCCAGTGGAAGAAGGAGACTGGAAGGTGGGATTTGAGAGCCCTCCTCCTTCTTCAGCGTCTTCCAAATAGCTTCTCAACTCCTAAGCTGTTGCTCTGGAGCACATTAGACCCAGTTCTGAGCAGACATAACTCTTTGCTCTGAAAAATGAGTGGTTTAATTCACAGTGTGAGTCACTTGTGTTGCATAAAGGCAAGTTTCTTAACGCTCTAGATGTGATGCCAGGCACACAGATATCAGGCCTTGGGCAATAGTGGAAACCATTCTATTTCCCATTCTGGAATCTCAACCTGATTCTGATGACTAACAGTGGGTCCCTAAAAGTCCAAGACTGTGTGGGAGGCAGATGGCTATATGGCACACTGCCTTTCTCTGTGCATGCTAAAGCAAGTAACTAGTTGTGCTTACTTTCTTGTATTGGCTTGGTTTTTGAAGCCTTGTAGCATAAGGTATATAAGTGAGGGAAGAATCAGTTTCTAGGATTTGTGGGGCTGAAATTATTCTTCACAGGTCCAGGACTTATAAAATGTAGAGACACAACATTTATCACACATTGCTAAGTAGAAACAGAATTAGAGACTTTTTAATGAGTGCTGTCAGTGGGCATGCTATAAAGGACTGGATTTGAAACATACTCATGGGATAATGATTAGAAATATTTTCTGAAAGAAAAAGGAATGAGTGTTAAAGTAAGTTGAAATAGAAACAATGAAAAATGGAAGAAAATTAAAATAAAGCACTTAAGATGTAAAAAACACTTATCTGCCACAATCTCTCATGAAATGCAGCATGCTGAATAGAAAAGCTGTATTTTCCATTGCTTAGTTCATTCAGAATCTTTCTTTTCTTCAGGTTGAGATTGCTCTAAATCACACACTCTTAGTGAATTTAAGTCACCAAAATACATTTGCAAACATTGTCTGTGTGGGGACAGCTTTTTATAACTTATTCCTCGTGACATTTCTCTTCAGCTTCATTCTGCCACTGAAGAGTGGGGGCAAGGGCACTGGGGTGCGGGACAGGCATTTGTGAAATGCTTCTGAAAACACAGAACCAGTTCTTAGAGTTTTAGATGACGTCTGAATACTTCACACCAACCACCCTCAATTTTCTCCTATCATGTATCATGTTGTGTTCCTTGCCCACCGTTTAGGTATGCTCAGCATAAAAGATGAAATCTCACTGATGCTTGGGGGAAAAAGAAACTCAATTTTGGTTTTCTTTGCTATTAGGACTAAAGAGTTGTAACAGACATTTAATTTTCTCTCCCTGTCAAAAGTTGATTTGTACAGTAAGTGGCCTCTGTTGCAAGCATCCTATACTCCCTGTCCCCGTGTACATATGTATACATAGCAGTGTACAATTCTTCATTGTGGAGTAGAGATACTAGAATTCGTGTGGCCATCTTCCTGTACAGGACTCGCATCGGTTATTGACACCAAGCAAAATGCAACTGCTCATAAAATAACATGCCATATTATTGGGTTTGTATCTTTAAATATAGTTTCCATTTTATTTATTTCTGTTAACATATCTAGTTTTGTGCTGTAACTTAGCATTCAATAAGCAATGTATAGATGTGATTTGATTGGCAATATGTATTTACTTTAACTTGTATTTCAAAGCATTACTTACTCATTTAGATTATATATTGTGCAATTGTAGATGGCCTCTTACTAATGTAAAATGATTTGTAGTGGAAACATTTATATTTTTATAATAAACATAATGAAAGTATTTTTTACATACTGGAATACTGAGGTGATTGCTTGGAGGACAAAGTAAATTTATTTGATTAGTGTGATAAAATTGTAATTAAATATGGATAAATTCTGAGTGTTAAAGCATGGGTTCAGAGTGAAAGCCAGATATTACTTATATTATCTATTAAAAGAAACAAGCAGTGCAGGTTTTAACTAGGCAGACCAGCATTTGTGCTAAACTGACTTACATCAGTCAAAGACATTACTTTCTCCATGGATGTGGGAAAACATTGTCTTCTACTGCCTGCCTATGGGATATTGAAAAAGCTGTTGTTTATTTTAGTTGTGTCAAGTATTTCCAAACTTTTGGGTTTTTTCCTCCCTTGCCAGTGGACCTCTTTTCATCTTATTACTATGTTGAATCCGGTAAAAGATGTACTATTCAACAAAATAAAATAGCCCACCGCTTACTGTAACTTAACCCCATGATCATTTCTTGCCTCTGAGTATCTGTATTAGATAATATTTTGCTCCTGTTTTGTTATTTCCCTACCAAGTTGTTTCTGTATGCTTCACTGAAGTACAGGGTCTTTGAAAATGCCAACATATACAACTCAGGAATTTTCTTTCTAGAAAAATAGGAATGTTTAGAATGTTTGCAAGCTTCTCGGGTGAATTTACAGGATCTTTCTGTACCATAAATGATTTAGCATGCTTTTGTATACTGCTCTGCTTACTGGTGCAAAACAATGAATGATATACCTGTCCTGGAGTCTGTAAGTTCATAACCTTTGTGGAGGTGAATGAAGCATACTTCATTTTTTTGACATTTTGTCTTGGTATCTTCAATAGAAAGGGGAATCTCAGAAAAGAGTGACCCAGAATTGGACTCAACGATAAATCACAGCAGCTGGACTGAAATCCACTTGTTCTTCATAAGACCGTTATGCCTCATGCTGTGGTCCAGTGGCTACACATGGTGTCATTTTATCTTCCAATGAATGAGTTTTGATCCTATACTTGAACAACAGGGAAGCAGCTATGATGGTCTAATCATTCAGTATGCAAACCATTTGCATTGGGAATAGGTTTCACTTCAGCAATCGTGTTACACTGACTTGTGTCTATCCGTTTACTGGTGCATTGTATTTGCTTTATATCCTAAAGGGCACAATGAATATTGGCATTTTTATAACTGTTGCCTTTAGTGTAAAATGGTACTAAAACTCACAGCCAGTTCTGGAATGGCAGTAGGATGCGTTGACATGAAGAGCAGCAAAACAGGTAAATGCCACCAACCTATTTCAGTTCAAATCTGGAGGGATTAATTACTGATAATCAGTTTTGCAATATGTCTATGTGGGGTTTTTTTTAGACATTTTTCCACTCTACATTTCTTCTTAAGAATGATGCCCAGACATAGATATCTATACCATTAAAAGCCTAAAGGGCCAAGTGGAATCAGAGAATTACTTCTGCTGTCTCACATATGCCACTCCTGTTAATTCAGACAAATATCCATACTATTGACTTCCTTTCATTTTCTGAACCACTATAATTCCTCACATCCTTTCCAAACTGTCACTGCCTGGTCAGTAATTTCCCATTTAATATGTGTGTACTCAGTTCCTTTTTCAGTCCCCTGTCCAATTCTTTGGTATTTCTTAACAAATTTTACTATATCAATTTAAAAATATTTATGCTAGAAATATTTCTCTCGTCCCTGATTCATTCACACATATAAACATGCACATGCTCATCATCTAGGTTACTAGTGCAGATATGAAAAGCACAAAACATGCAGGCCAGCTTTTTCCTGGCTTCTTTCTTATGCTTTTCAGATGGCCAGAGCACCTCTGATAAATGAAGAGCACTCAGGATTTGGGAATTTTCAGCTCACTCTGCTTTCGTGTAACAATGATTTCATAATAGCCCATATTTCCCCAGTTAGCTCATAAGAATGTCATGTGGGACAGCACCAGAAGTCTTAGTAAAGACAAGATAAATCACATCTACTAGTTTTTAGATTATCCTGGCACAGAAATAAATTAGATGAGGTTGACATGATTTGTTTATTCTTGACAAATCTTAGTTGGTTTCTTAAGACCTTGTAATCCTCCAGCTGCTTAGAAATGTATTGTATGAGATATATATATCTTTCTGGGTATTTGAGGTTAGCATATCTACTCTGTAATTGCCTGGCTCTGCTTTTCT